CAGCAGGAACCAGCATGACTCTCAAACAAAGGGTGCCCAGAAAGGTCAACGACTGGAGTAAGAGGGCAGAAAGGTACCTTAGTTCCAGGTCCAGCATTAAGGACAGACACAGCAATACCTACAACTTAAACATAAAACTGAAGAAAGAGCTCTTGAAGAAAAGAGTCTGTGATCAAATTACAGATTCTAGCTCTCCCCTCAGATTCTTAAGCCTGATTCTGGAAATAGACACTTGCTTAGCTGCAGGTAGTAATAAAAATGTGTATTTCCATACCATGCACATATTTAGCCACCTGAATACAAAACTAAAGCTCATTGCAAACAGCAATGTACCCACATCACAGAAACCACATTCTGTACATAAAAAAAGGAAAAGATAACATGGGTAAATAACTGCCACTGCCTGGTTTTGCATCCCTCCCCCTGCAAGACCATACCCTAATTTCACTCAGCTGCATCAGAGAGCCGCACACATGCCTGCAACTGGAGCTGCAGAGGAGGCCCAGAACTGGTCTGTGGAGTGTACAAACACCTTATCTGTATATAAGTTCGTCTCTAGTAAAGGTTTAATTCCCAGATCTGTGGGGGAAACTCTGAAGGAAAAACTTCAGGCATATTTCCAAAAACATTTGTTTAGGATCCACCATAAGAGGTGCTGTAACATCCTGTAGTAAACGCAATTGCAGAATCAAAAGTGCTCACAAAAAAAAAAAAAAAAGACAGAAAATTAAAATTACACGTGCCTTTAGCTCTGCCCTTGAAAAACATATTTTCATGCTGAATTTCAACAGCAGAGCACTCCTGTGGACATCATTTCACTAAGATTACCAAGATAACTTCCTATAATAAAGTTAAATAACTGTATTTTCAGCACTGCAGCCTTAGATTACGTCAGTGACTGCCTTGACAGCAGTTCAGAACTGGGTTTTTAGATTTCTTTTTGTAACACCACTGCTTGATGATTCCCAGTCCCTGCTGCCACTTGAAGAGGTTAAATTCAACATTTAAACTTCTTGTAGTACAGAAATATTATAGAAGCACTTGAACTTTCAAAAAAGTGTAGCTGTCATGCCTGTTCAAGGGCAGAGACACTTAGCAATTATGGAAAAAGAATAACGAACAATGACTAAAATTTGTTCTTGGGCCTTCATTGTCCATCCATGATTATTTCTTTCTACAGTTCTCTCAACACGAGACTCCTGTTGCAAAACCACATAAACTGTTTGACAACTTAAGTGCTCCAGGTTTGTGGATCTGCTTTTATTTAGTGTAGAAGTTTGCATAAGGCACAGTTGCAAAATTCCTCCTCACCACAGATA